GCTCATCTTCCATACCAGTCTCTGAACTCATCAAGGCATAGTCCAACATATATATATCCTTATATTGATTTTTGTTTATTTCATTTTTTTTAATTCAGATAATTTTTTATATGTTACTCTGTAATTGTTTTATTTCATTTAAAAATGTATCTTGGACATTCCTGTAGGTGAATATATAATTATATGTATGACATTCTGTTTTGATGTCTTCCACAAAGTAGATTTATTAAGAAAAATATTTTCAGTAATTCTCTAAATGGATGGATATTCAGATTTTTTTCAAGGGGTTTCTGCTACAAACATCCATATATATCTTTCCTTAAGCACTTATACAAGTATTTCTCCAGGTCATAGTTCCAGAAGAAGAATTTGCTGTCAAATAACCTTCCTGAAGAATTAAATGAGCTCACTCCAGGTATGTGTGAATGCTGATGTTATCAAGCTCTTTAATGTTTTCCACTGTAAGTGAAAAACTCTATTTATTACTTGATCATGCATTTTCTTGTCTACTAGGAAGGTTGAACAGATTTTCAAATATTTATTGGACATTTGACTTTATTATTCTTTCTTTATTAGGTTTTTTTGTCTTTTTGTTTATCAATGTGTAGCAATACTCTAAATTTTTGTAATAAAAACCCTTTATTTGTCATTAGAATGGAAAATATTTTCCCTGAATTTATCATTTGACTTTTTTGTGATATAATTCTACATATAGAAAAATAGAGTTGTTTCCTTTAGTCATCCATCAGTTTATTTCTTTAAGGGCTCTTTAGGGGAAAAACTTTAAAAGTTCATTTACTTAATAAATATTTTAAGAAAGCAAATGTTTTTAATAAGGAGATCAATTTTAGGGCTGGTTTATTACTACATATAATGGCAACTGACATTTCCACATAATAGTTTACCAGAGCCACTGTAGAAAACGATGGATTTAGCTAATGTATGGCTTGGTCACTGTCAGAAACAGAAGTGAATAGATCCCCATAGTGTCATATTATTTTGCATTTTATGACAGTTGTTATTCTATGTGTATAAGAAGAGTTATAGTAGTTATATCCCTTTTGACTTCAACTTTCTTTACATGATTTAAAAAGTCATGATTACATTAATACAGATAAAGTTTTCTAATTCTATTTGCTAAATTACTGCTGAATTCACTATCTATTTAATGGTGAAGGCTTCTTCACCAGCAAAATAAGATATGTAATTTCTTAAAATAGAAAGTCACCACCTGAATTCCAGATCTTCCAGAATTTCTGCCCCTATTCCTGAGGTTTTCATAAGCCAGAAGTTAAGGTCCAAAAAGAATATCAGACATTGCCTAGCAAACATTTTTTCTTTAATTTTCTCTCTTCCTTCATTTTTGGAGCATTGGCAGAACTAGTCTAATTCCTCCTTTTACAAAACTGAACCACAGAAAACACTTTGTGTGTCATTGTGTCTTTACATATTTTTATTACTTTTTTAAATGGAGATAGCTCCATTGTAATGGTAAACTAAACTAGAAATTGCCATCCTACTAAGTAAATAAGCTGTTTACATATGATGTTTCACAAGGAATCAAATTGGAGTATTTTTTGACAGTCCATTGTTTTGTACTTTTAGTGGCTGTATGGCTCTAGGCAATCATGAAGTTCTACCTGTCTCAGTTTCTTCATTTGTAGAAAGGAAATCATAACTCCTCTAGGTAAAGTGTAATTCATGGGACCAAATGGTGTCAACACAACACTGTATGCAAAAGCACTTTGTAAATGTTTTTTAAAAATGTTAATACAAATACACTTTGCCAGAATACATATGACAAGCTTTGGCACAGGGATTGCAGAGGAAAGAAATTTTAAATTTTTAAAAAATCAAATAAAACTAATCGAATTCACAGTAGCTTCTTTGGTAGCAGCCTAGAAAATTAGTCATACAGCTGCTATTTTATTAACACTATTAGTGAGAAAGAATTCAGACAGGGGGATACAAAAATTCAAAGATAATTTGCATTAGGTTTATTTTTTACTCCAAACAGATATGCATTTCAGGAAGGATATACTCTGTATTCTTGGAGTTCTGATTAAGAGACATTTTAATTCATTTTATACATCCTCCCCACCAGTAGTAATTATTTTATTTTTATTTCATTTTACTACTGTCTCAAATTTATTATCATACCAAATGCACCTTTATCAAATTCTTCCTGAAAAATTCCATTTCTTTCTCAGCTTCCACTGCATGTTTTTACAGTTAAGTCTGTGTCTATGTCAGCACTTCTATTATACATTTGCTTTTTAGGAGTTTAAAACTCATCCATAAAAATTAACTAAGGCTGAAACCTGGCAGACAACTTAGAAGCACATTTTGTTTTTACCAACCTTCAAGAAAACCCATATGGCTGTTTCTCAATTCCTGTGCATCATGCTTAAATAAAATAATTCCTGGCCAACATGAGACACTTATTTGGGCTAATTCACATCAAAAACAAGTTTTTTCTAATGCAATTATCCCATAATTGGCTCTCATCTCTCCTCCAAGTCCCTCAGGCCCCTTCCTGAGTAGATACCCTGTCACCCTGGTGGCTGGCCTGGCTGAACACGGGTAGCCCAACACTTGTAACCATAAGATGCATAGCTAATGTTTCATGTTGTCTTAGGACTGGAAAGTTTTCTGGGGCTGCCAGGTGAACTGTTACATCAGAAATTTCTTTGGCTCAGCTCTGCTTCCCCTCTGCCCCACCCAAAGATATGTCCCTTTTAGTACTGTGCTCACATCCATTAGCCCCCAAAGGCAGTAGATGAAAAAATTACTTCTCACCTGTGTAGGTAGAGCTGCCTCTACTCTAACAAATCAGGCCATTGCTTTGAACTGTTGGAAAAGAATTCTCCACAGTTTTTCCTGTTTCTACACGTCTTGCAAATGAGGCCCTGACTGCTCTTTGTCCAGACCACTTTTTCAAAGATGTTTGTGTAGTGAATGACCTTGGAAGACAGAAATAGGGACTTCCTTGGGGAGAAAAGGCAGGCATGTCTCCTATCCAGTATTAAGAGGGACAACGTCTCTCTCCAAAACAAAATGGCAGATATGCTTACCAACCATACAGACTCTGGCTGCTAAACTAAACAGGAGAATTCCTCTTCTGCATATGCCGTACATATCGGACACTCTGCACACTCATCCTGTGGGAACTGGAGTTGAGGGAACTTGCATATAAATGCTGCCCCTCTGGTAAGTGTTATTATTATGAATAATGAGCTATCTCTGACCCACAGGTCTCATCTCCTCTAGTAGCGTTCAAGAGACTGTGGCAGACTAGCCTGCTTGCAAGTAGGGTGATACTCAGAACACACAGGCTGTCTCTTCTATGGACATGTAAGCTCCTTGCAAGCTGAGACCACGTTTACTGTATTCATCACTGTGTTCCCAGCACTTAGACCAGTACCTGGTAAACAGATGGTGCGCAATAAATACGTTTTGAGTCAGTGTCAAGTAGAGACCTAAATTTAAAAAATGGGGGCAACAATTTCTGGGGGCCCCCTTGTGACAAAAGTTTTCATGAAAGAAGTGGGATTTAAGGTGAACCTTATCGCTCCCAGCAGTCTCCCCTCTACTCGGGCTGAGAATTTGAAAGTATCATTCAGGGCAAAAGCCTCTCCAAAAGCACTTTTGTCTTTTAGCTTTCTAGTGGAAACATGCCTTCCATATTTACTTCTTTGCTTCCTTTGGGTCACAGAATGTCGCCTCAAAGATTCTGTTTCCTCTAAGTGAGAACGTGTGTGATTTTGCTTCTCTTTAACCTCAGCTTCTTAACCGTTTCTGCTCTCCCCCCGCAAATGGCAGAGTGGGAGCAACGAAGCACACTGTCATTTATATCTCACCTTAAAAGCTGTCTGTCAAGGGACAAGCAGGTCATGCTACTTTAAAATGCTGAAATTAATTTTTTTCTGAATCTTTTTTGCCCCCCAAGTTTAAAAAACCTGATGGTTGTTTGGTCTGACTTCATGACAATGTGTAATTGACTACAGTACTGTCAGAGAAAGGCTTTAAACTCTGATGAAGGCTTTAGGAAGTTTGAGGCAAATATGGGGACCCTTTTAAAACTGAAAGAGCCAGTGTGCTTATGTTAGAGAGAGGCAGCCAAGTTAGGCAGAGGCAAGAGAGAATGGCATGGTCGGTAGTTTCTGTCCCACAAACAGGAGGGACAGAAAGTGAGGGCCTGGCTTGGCCTTGGGCAGAGGCTCTGGTGTGGGACAGCAGAAAAGCCTACTAGGGAAGAGAGAGATTTTCTGTCTCAAGTATAAAACCTTGCTAGATGCATGTTGTTATTAGATAAGAAAGCTCCTAAGGATTCATGGTACAGAAAGAATAGAATTTACCAATATCCCTCAGTCTTATAGAATTTATCATTCTATTTTCCCCTTAAAGCTGTTTCAAAAGCCTTCCACTTTTCCCATTACCTTGAAAGTCTCAGATGGGAAACCTTAAACATTCACACCTTACTTCCAAGCCACAAAAAAATAACAGTAACACACAAATGGTCAACGAGTCTGTGAATACCCTCATGAGATGAAAATGAAATGTTTTTAAAAGTCAGACCCCATCCCAGTCAGCAGTTGTACTTACTGATCAGCCTCCTGTTTTAAATCTTTACCAATTCCAACTTCGAAGAGCAAATACCTAATGAATTAGTTTTAAAATAAAACAAAAAAGTTTAACGTGGATTTAACGTTCACGACAGAGAAGGATTAATGTGCTTGGCCTGCAGAAAGCTCTCGGCCAGGCAGGTGGCCGGCAGGATTCCATCGGCGGAGCCGGCGCACCTCAGCTGGGCCCTGTTTACTCAACCCCTGGCCTCCTCTTCAGCAGACATGCCAGTTAGCGCAAGCAAGCCAAATGCTGTGGTGGTTTTCTAATGAGGCCAAGCAGGGAGAGAACGAACCAAGTAAATTTCTCTTGTGGCCAAAGCAAGGCTAAGTTATGAACTGAGACCTCCAGAGGCGAGAGGCTTACGGACTCACCAGCTGCCGCTTCGCTGCTCTTCACACGCAGCCCCATAGTATGGTCATGCACAAAATACTCTTAAAAGTGAGGCCGGGAGTTCCCTTGAAAAAAAGCTTTTCTTCTGGGCAGGGAAGAAATCTCTGGGTGTGAAGTCACGTTTGAGGTTTACAAGCTATTGCTGACATCAATAAAAGGCTGCATTTGTTATCTCTTCTCAGTGTCCTGTAGGCACACTGGCACTCATTAAATGCTTCCTAAAAATAACGTTTGGCAAACTTTCATGTTGTGTTCATAAAGGCGTACGTGCTTCATTGAGCGGGTCATTTTAGGAAGCTGCTGTAAACATGTAAGCACATGCATTCACTGAACCAAGTTATTTCATTTTGATTAATAGGCAGAATTCTTCTCTCTGCCCTAAAGCACAGTTTATGCTCCCAAGGCCTGCTTTTGGAGCTTCCCCATGCCTCTATGTGACTCCACAGCTCTTTCAAACTGAGCCGAAGTTACAGGTCAGTGTACCAGGTTTCCTCAGATAATGCTTGAAACATAAAGGGCAGGACACTTAAGAATTCGTCAGCAGGATGTTTCGCCAATTAATTTGTCAGTTAGACATGCTTGCCTACTTTCCCATCTGTGTGTCATGAGAGTCCAAAGCTGTCTTTTCCAGCTACAGCTAGAGAATGAGAACTGACCAAACCTGCTATTTATTTGCGCCAGGCTAAAAAGTAACCTAATGACCATCTTGTTTAACTAGTATGAGTAAGTACTAAAGAACATTGATCATTATAACCCTGGGGGTCCACAAGAAAAGACATCAGTGGAGTGGAAGGATTACCTCATTGCTGAGCTCTCTTTCCAGCCCTATGTCCACCCAGACAGCTGATAGAGGGAAAGCAGAAGTAGGAATAAACAGAGTGAGAGCCGGGGAAAAGAAGAGTGAAAGTAGGGTGACTGGTTGAAAAAATGTTTGCGGAATACTTGCATTAGCTGACTTTTCCATTCCTTCATCTGCAGCAGGTCATTTGCACCCAAACTAAAGCAGAAAATTATACTGTGAAGAAGGGGCTGACAAAACTGGAAAGATCCATTGGCATAATCATGGTGTACAGATGACAACATACTATTGATGGACATTTTGGTTGCTTCCAGATCTTGGCTATTATAAATAATGCAGCATAAACACAGAGGTGTATTTATCTTTTTGAATCAGAGATTTTTATTTTTCCTTTGAGTAAATTCCTTTAAGTGGAGTTACTGGGTCATATGGTATTTCTATTTTTAGTTTTTTGAGGAACCTCCATACTGCTTTCCACAGTGGCTGGACCAATTTACATTCCCACCAACAGTGTAGGAGAGTCCCCTTTTCTCTACACCCTCTTCAACAACTTGTTATTTCTTGTCTTTTGGATAGGGGTCATTCCAACTAGTGTGATGTGATATCTCACCGTGGTTTTGATTTGCATTTCCACTCACGGATTTTCTAATCCAAGAGCCAGCAAACTTTTCTGTAAAGAGCCATATAGTAAATATTTTAAACTTTGAGGGACATAAAGTTCCTGTCATACATACTCAACTTTGACACTGTAGCAAGAAAGCAGCTATAGACAATGTAAAAATGAGTCAACATGTATGAGTGATTGATGGACACTGAAATTTTAATTTCACTTTCATTTGTCATAAAATGCTCTTTTTAGAATACTTTTCAACCATTTAAAAGTGTAAAAACTAGTCTTAGCTCATGGGTCACACAAACACAGGCTGTCTGTCCTAGAGTCTAGTTCATGCCACAAGCAGCTGTGAATTTTTTCATGCAACGCTGCTTCCAATTATTTCCAGTAGGACTGACCTTAAAGCCATCTCTCCAAAGCACCTAATTTTTTTTTTTGCATACATACAAATGGAAACATTATTCTAGTTTTCAATCTCTAGTAGTTGACCTGATATGCCTGCAGAGAGACATGAGAGTCTTTATTGTGAATGAAAGTAGAAGAATATACTCTTTTAAGAGATATATTCCCTTAGATGCAAACATTTCTTCTTCTAAGTGATTACTTCTTGGAAAAAAATCAATGGTTATTCCATGAATATAAGGGTAATCAAGTACCCCTCAGGATCTTCCTGAGGGAACCTAAATTTTTTTGTTGTTATTCATTTTAAACTCATGCACAGAATCTAAGTGAATTAACTATATATGTTTACAGAGTTCAGATAAGCATCCACCTTGTTATTTATATTGCATTTCTGTTATCTCTGGCTCTGTCTCCTGTAAAATGTCAACACAGGAAAACACAGGAAGAGGATATCTGTGAGATTTAAATCTTTGCTAACCTAGTCAGTTTATACATTGGCTGTAGAAAGCAAACTGAAAATCAAAACTATGAATAATGAGACAATCTTTAACTATTTTAAAAATCAAACAAGCATAGTCCTGCGCATTCATTTTTACTTTAAAACAGCATTATTTATGGTTTTCTAGGGGGAAAGGCATAATCTTACAAGAGCTAATCTTAGTACCCAAAATTTAGAAGGAGAGGGAGAATTCTACTGAATTCGGTTGGTTGTCTGGGGCCCTTAACTTCACCACTGACTCACCTGAATTTTGGCAAGTTGGAACCTTCTGAGTCACAATTTCCTCATTGCTAACGTCTCATAATTATTTTGGTTCAGTTCTGGTGATTCAGAGAATACTCCGATGCCTTGTCTTTATATAGAGATCAAAACTGGATGACAACCTAGAGCACAGAAGGTTGTGTTTTTGATGCAAGCATCCAGGACTGACTCTTTCCGATCCCTACCATTAGATAAATCTTGAAGAGTCTGCCTTCAAGGTCCTTGCTTGCCCGCTGCTTATTCATTTTTTAATACTAATTCATGTTGGCCATGAGTGTATAGACTAGTTATTAAACAGCAGAGAGGTGCAGAAAAGAAAAATTTATAATCTCCTTTGACACCCAGTAAATCCCATCTCAAGAGATTACCAATGTTTTCCTGTATAGCTCATCTTCCATACCAGTCTCTGAACTCATCAAGGCATAGTCCAACATATATATATCCTTATATTGATTTTTGTTTATTTCATTTTTTTTAATTCAGATAATTTTTTATATGTTACTCTGTAATTGTTTTATTTCATTTAAAAATGTATCTTGGACATTCCTGTAGGTGAATATATAATTATATGTATGACATTCTGTTTTGATGTCTTCCACAAAGTAGATTTATTAAGAAAAATATTTTCAGTAATTCTCTAAATGGATGGATATTCAGATTTTTTTCAAGGGGTTTCTGCTACAAACATCCATATATATCTTTCCTTAAGCACTTATACAAGTATTTCTCCAGGTCATAGTTCCAGAAGAAGAATTTGCTGTCAAATAACCTTCCTGAAGAATTAAATGAGCTCACTCCAGGTATGTGTGAATGCTGATGTTATCAAGCTCTTTAATGTTTTCCACTGTAAGTGAAAAACTCTATTTATTACTTGATCATGCATTTTCTTGTCTACTAGGAAGGTTGAACAGATTTTCAAATATTTATTGGACATTTGACTTTATTATTCTTTCTTTATTAGGTTTTTTTGTCTTTTTGTTTATCAATGTGTAGCAATACTCTAAATTTTTGTAATAAAAACCCTTTATTTGTCATTAGAATGGAAAATATTTTCCCTGAATTTATCATTTGACTTTTTTGTGATATAATTCTACATATAGAAAAATAGAGTTGTTTCCTTTAGTCATCCATCAGTTTATTTCTTTAAGGGCTCTTTAGGGGAAAAACTTTAAAAGTTCATTTACTTAATAAATATTTTAAGAAAGCAAATGTTTTTAATAAGGAGATCAATTTTAGGGCTGGTTTATTACTACATATAATGGCAACTGACATTTCCACATAATAGTTTACCAGAGCCACTGTAGAAAACGATGGATTTAGCTAATGTATGGCTTGGTCACTGTCAGAAACAGAAGTGAATAGATCCCCATAGTGTCATATTATTTTGCATTTTATGACAGTTGTTATTCTATGTGTATAAGAAGAGTTATAGTAGTTATATCCCTTTTGACTTCAACTTTCTTTACATGATTTAAAAAGTCATGATTACATTAATACAGATAAAGTTTTCTAATTCTATTTGCTAAATTACTGCTGAATTCACTATCTATTTAATGGTGAAGGCTTCTTCACCAGCAAAATAAGATATGTAATTTCTTAAAATAGAAAGTCACCACCTGAATTCCAGATCTTCCAGAATTTCTGCCCCTATTCCTGAGGTTTTCATAAGCCAGAAGTTAAGGTCCAAAAAGAATATCAGACATTGCCTAGCAAACATTTTTTCTTTAATTTTCTCTCTTCCTTCATTTTTGGAGCATTGGCAGAACTAGTCTAATTCCTCCTTTTACAAAACTGAACCACAGAAAACACTTTGTGTGTCATTGTGTCTTTACATATTTTTATTACTTTTTTAAATGGAGATAGCTCCATTGTAATGGTAAACTAAACTAGAAATTGCCATCCTACTAAGTAAATAAGCTGTTTACATATGATGTTTCACAAGGAATCAAATTGGAGTATTTTTTGACAGTCCATTGTTTTGTACTTTTAGTGGCTGTATGGCTCTAGGCAATCATGAAGTTCTACCTGTCTCAGTTTCTTCATTTGTAGAAAGGAAATCATAACTCCTCTAGGTAAAGTGTAATTCATGGGACCAAATGGTGTCAACACAACACTGTATGCAAAAGCACTTTGTAAATGTTTTTTAAAAATGTTAATACAAATACACTTTGCCAGAATACATATGACAAGCTTTGGCACAGGGATTGCAGAGGAAAGAAATTTTAAATTTTTAAAAAATCAAATAAAACTAATCGAATTCACAGTAGCTTCTTTGGTAGCAGCCTAGAAAATTAGTCATACAGCTGCTATTTTATTAACACTATTAGTGAGAAAGAATTCAGACAGGGGGATACAAAAATTCAAAGATAATTTGCATTAGGTTTATTTTTTACTCCAAACAGATATGCATTTCAGGAAGGATATACTCTGTATTCTTGGAGTTCTGATTAAGAGACATTTTAATTCATTTTATACATCCTCCCCACCAGTAGTAATTATTTTATTTTTATTTCATTTTACTACTGTCTCAAATTTATTATCATACCAAATGCACCTTTATCAAATTCTTCCTGAAAAATTCCATTTCTTTCTCA